CTTGTTCTTGGTAACTTTATATTTTTAACTCACTGTTTTTTTCCAATTGCTTTTATGGAATCTGCTATTGGGGAAGTGTGGTTTGCAGTCTTTCTATGTTTAAATAGGGCAAATATACAGTCCATCAACAGTCACCACGCAGTTTGGCTGAGCTTGAACAGTCTGTAAGGAGGAATGGGCAAATATTCCTCCCTCTAGGTGTACCAAGTTGGTAGAGATGTATCCAAACAGACTCAAGGCTGTAATTCAAGCAAACCACCAAGTATTAACTTAGGGGGGTGTTCTCTTATCCAACCCAGTTATTCCACTTTTTTTCAGAAGTTTTGCTTTCTTTTTTTGGATGTTGCACTTTATATACCCACTGTATTGTGATAAGTAGCAGATTATTCACTTTGGCTGCTTTTGAGTTCATCCAGGCTTTGTTATAAATTATCATAGCTTGTTTTATTATGTATTTAACTTATTTGATGAAAACATTTGCACAATTTTCTATACTTTTCTCCAGTTTCAGTGCTTGTGTCATTGATGGCCCTTAATGGTAACCATCATTGGCTTCTTGGGTATTAGTATGGCTTGGTTTTAACAGCTGTTAGGGACTGGTGTCCCATTTAGGGTGTACTCTGCCTTACACCATCACTTTCTGGGATAAGGCTCTGGCCCCCCAGCAACCTTGTACAATCCGGGAGCCTATCCCGGATGATGCAGTTACAAAATGAATGGATCTTTGTAACAGGCCCACTGCCAGAAAACCATTCGAAAGACTCAAGGAACATGAGTGATAGAATGAGCCCAGTAACCTACATTATCTCATTAATGCTTCAACACTGACTTCAGTCTTCTTTTGGGAGATGTGATTGTAATCAGATTGGATTATCACATTTAATGGATATATTCCTATGACATATACACTTTTCAATTTCCCAAAGTGTATTAACCCACACTTATTGTAATTATACGCCTAATTTCATTTTTACTTTGACCAGTAAAGATTTCTTATATTTATGTCTAATCAGTAGGAAAATATCTGTTTCTTCGATGGAGTAAAAGCACAAGGGTGTACTGTATATCTGTACAATGAATACACTAAAAACTACTGTGAACGCTTTTTTTTTCAATACAGACTTCCGTCGTAGACAACATTTACCAATAAAAATATAGTTTACTGTAATTGTGAGTCATATTACTTTCCTGATTGATTCTTATTCAAATTCATTTTATTTCGCTTTTTAATACAATGTTTTATGAGACCAAGGTTGTCCGAGTCGGACAAATACGTACTGTAGTAATTTAATCTGTTAAAAGTACCGGTAAGAAACGAATAGGGACTTTTAATAATTAATCACTTTGTAAAGGTAATTCCTGTTTCAAACATTCTACTTCTAACATTCTCGATACCATAAGTAAACAGAGTTCCTCAGAAATGTACTATAAAATATACAGGTATAAATGTGATTATTCTGGTTGCAAATTATGAAGATTAAAAAACCAACACAACCCATCATGTGTTTTTACTGTTAGAAACCGTGTCGAAGAATGTAATAAATTAACGTCAGGGAGCAAAGAGTAAGCATATGGAAAAAATGTCGGGGAAAAGGCTTATCTTCTGAAAGACATTATAATTCATTCAACTGAAAAGTGTGGTATGCAAAGGACCCTCTCCGAGAGAGGAATTCATACACGTGGTTTGTCTCCTTAATTTTGCATGCTTGTCTCCACATACCCCGGAGCGCATGTACTATATTCCGGCCACCTGTTGGGCGATGTGTAAACCGGGACAACAGTCCAGGAGGGATCATGTTGCTTTGATAAAGAGCTGGATGCCCTCGCAAGTTCAAGGTATTTCAGAAGTGAGCTACAGTAGAAGATGGAGCTTGTTACCAAAACCTCGCCCTGCTTTCTGATGCTGTACTGGGTCACTCCAGCGCTCTCCTATCCGACCGGAGCCCCTGTGAACGCTTGTGTTTCGATGACACCAAACCACAACACGAGCGCTTCAGACACGGATTCTCCCTATACCGTTAATATCACTGAGGCTGCCTACAAACATGGACAAATGATAAAAGGTGTGTTAGATGCGTTTATTTCGTTACATATAGTTATTATTCGTCTCTCAAATTATTTCTTTTGTCGTTTACATGATTCAAACTTTAATCGTCATTTCGTACAGCTACAACCCGTTTCCATAAGCCGTTCAGACAATTTTGATAATATTTTGTTACATTCATTTGCAAGGCTTTACAGCATTCATTATGTGTTAATCTGTAAATAATATATTAGAGACGTTTTTAATACTGTAAATTGACACCTACGATGATACAAAACTATATATGAAAATAAAAAAAAATAATTGTTTCCTAAAATACACGTTTAGTCACAAGTGAACTATTCAGCGAGATGCAACTAAATTTGTTAGCTGTTGATTGTATTACAGTACTTTTTTTTTTCTAGTGAAAATTATGTCATCGGAACCATACAGGGGAATTTTTTTGCAAGCGAGGCATTACAATTCTTCCACCATCGCTGGGAGCTGGAAAGACTTACCTGCAAATATCCAAACGATAAATGTAAGCCCCGGAATTCACTATGATTCATATTTTAAATGTTTGAAGGAGATTAATCTCTTCTGTGCTATGTTAAAACATTTATTCTGCTCTGATATGCTATCATATTATTTCCTGCGAATATTCCATAATGATTTACTGCATATTCTTGAACAATGAATATTCTCTAAATGCTCAACACTTTGTAGTGACCTAAATTTAATTTAGGTACAATAGTATAAATATAAATGGTTTAAAGTCAAAAGTTAGAAGATGCTATTGATAATTAAGCATGCTATTGATGCTTAATTAAACCATGCCTACTAAAAGTGAATTGCACTCTTTTGTGCTTAGAAAAGGCAGAGTTCTTTGGATAGTACTGGAAGGCTGGAATGATAAACGTTGGAATGACTGATAAACGTTAACAATTCGTCTTCTGCATGAGCTGTCCATGTTTACATGTTTTGTAAACTTTATAGAAATTTGTAAAAGAAAACAATGCCAGAATGCCAGAATCATTGGACAAGGTGGTGGTTAAATTAAATTAATTAAATTATTGTTGTTTTTTTTTTCTTAAAGTGTGGATCTGGAACCAGTAATGCAGTGACGCATACCTCCAGAACTGAAAAACCTCTTGGATTAGTTTATACCTGGATAGCTCCGTCCTCTAATGGTCCTGAAAAAATTGTATTCCAGTAAGTAAACCAACTGTTCACCACTACGTAAAGGCAAAATGACTAATGGTGGTCAGTGCTGTTGAGTGAATACAATACTGTGGTATTTTTGCAAAAGAGAAAGGATAACAGCAAATTAAAAAAGCACTTGTAATCGTTTTGCTAAAGTCTCTTACAATAATTCAGGCAGCCTTCCTATACTGTGTAATCTTTTTTGAGTTTACTCTTCAACTTACTTTAAAAATTGCATTTTTAAAGCTTGTATGCGATCAATACATGCACTTACTGTACAAATGCAAGTTATGTTGGAAATATTGCTTAGGGCTCTGGTTTTATAACTTGAATGTTGTGGGTTCAAATCCTGCTGGGAGTGCTGCTGTTGTAGCCTTGAACGAGATCCCTCAATTCATTGGTTCCAGTAAGATTCCCTGCTTCATAAATACTGAAAGAACAAATGTAAATTATTTTGGATAAAACTGTTACCCACATGAATTAATAATGACTAATCCTGTAGTGTTAGTTCATGTTAATTACTATATATGGAAATTTGTAGGAATGGTAAAGTTGTGTTTTGTTGTTCAGCCAGGTTGGAAATCTGTAGGAGCTGATGAAAGTTGTAAATATACACAATATGTACACAAATATGTACGTACATGAATGTGTACACAAATGTGTATGTGTATGTGCAATCAGTCTGCATTCTGTTAAACGTTTATCATCAGATTAATCACAATGTTGTCTACAATTATGCATTGAACATCACTTGTGCTTGAGAATAAACTGTACTTGTAAGCAGAAAAGCATGAAATGATGAACAAAAGCAATATTTTGATATTTAGATCCTTGGGTCATTGTGATGATATACGTCATAAAGTTAATTATTAAACTTAATTTATGATAAAAGCACACAAATTGTTTGGGGGAGTAAATCTGCTTTTTCCATCAACTCTTTTTTCTCCTAGCCAAAAGACACATTTTTATTATTTTCCTTAAAAGGATACCAAGATCTAGAACATGTACTTGTACACATTATCCCTGTCCTCTCCAATATCATTTTAGTATTAATATAACATGGTATTATGCTAATTTCTCACATGCTGGAGTTCAACTGTATTAGGAAATGACTGATAGATATACTGTACTTGTAATTGATACTGCTCTATAAATATTGTGGTATGCTGTAATACCAATGTAATGTAATAATGTAAGTGTTGGTTTTGTCTTTGCTTGAGGGTAGGTCATGTAGCCATGGACAGTTGTATCTGAATAAATTACATAATCTAGGGGGGCTGTACTTGACACTGTGTAACTGAAGGGTCCCCAATCCGTGATCTGGCCCCTACCCGCATTCTGGTTTTCACTCTTACTGAAATGAATTACCTTACCGAATCCTTAATTGAACTAACTCGTTGCTTGAATAGAATTTTTTCAAGTTTCATCTTCTAATAGAAATGGGGATTTTATGTTTCTTTATGACATGGAATAGTTCAAATAAAGCTTCGCAATCTGTCTTCAAATCTGTCTTCAAAATGAATCCTGTTATTAAGGCTAGTAAGGGTTCGGTTGTGTAACAGGGAGCTCAGACAAAACAGAAACCAGCAGATGTGTGAGCAGAAAAGATCTAATAATTGTTTATGGACCCTCAGGGCTACCGTTGTGAAGAACAAGACAATATTCTGGACAAACATCAGATCTTCGGAGCTGCAGTTAGGTCAGTCTTTTTTCTATTACTTTTCCACCCATTTGCTAACTCAGTATAACCTAAGGTGTGCACTATTCCATTGAAATACGGACTAATAAAGCTAGAATTCTAAATTTAAACATGCAGTAGGTGCTATTCCTGATAGCGTATTTTAATAAAATATATTACTGACCTATACAACACCTATACATATTTTTCAAATCAAATGAAACCCTTGAGAATTTAACTTTATATTGTGTGCACCCTAAACTAGTTTGGATAGGCCTACAATATTTACTTAATGGAAATGTAAATCTAAAGACACAGTAAATCCATCCGTTTTCTAACTACGTCATCCAATTCAGGCTCACATGGGAGCTGTAACCTATCCTGGCATTAGGCACAAGGCAAGGTACACCCCTGGCAGGATGCCAGTTGATTGCAGAGCACACACAGACAAACACACACTCACACCAGGGCCAATTTTCCCAGAAGCCATTTAAACTACCTGTCTGTCTTTTGACTGTGAAAGGAAACCAGAGTACCCAGAAGAAACCCACACTATATAAACTATACAGAGATAGCACCCCAGGAATTGAACCCAGGGCCCCAGTGCTGTAAGGCAGCAATACAAACCATTGTACCACCATATCACCTTCTAAAACATGAAAGAGAATAATATATTATTACTACTTTAGCAGCTATGGTAAGGATAACAAGGAATTACATTATAAAATGTACTTCATGAATAGGCAGAGATTCCAGATTCATCAAATGAGTGTGTTGAAGACTAACATTTTTAAATAAAAATTGGAAGATACGCCTCCTTTTTAGAGTGATGTTAAACAGGAAAATGTATGAAAATATTATTTGGAAAGAACAACATGAATTTAATTTAATATAAGAACGCACTGCATTTATTGCCCCTTATGTACTCTCAATTCATCTTTTATTCAAATGAGTAAGATCTAAAGTGAAATCTCTTATTATATTGAAAATATTGTGATTTACTTGCAAGCTTTCAAGATTTGTGTGTGTGTTTTTTTTTTCTAGACACCAGTGGAGCAGCCTCAGGCCTGAAAATGAGTGTCTCAACTCTAATGTTGCTGTTGGTGCTGGTTGTCATCAACTCTGTTTGAGTCCACTTTGCTGTTCTTTGATATTCGGAATAATGTTTTGAAAGACCCTTGTCTGTAAACTCCCTGCTCAGTGCTGGGGAATTACTGTACCCTGAATATACAAATCATTTTACACATTTAATTTCATATTTTAAAGATTGTGTAGTTTTGATACATTTAATTACTCTAGTCTAAACTATAACTTGATACTGTGAGTTCTTATTAAGTAGTACTGTATATGAGTAACTTTGACTTTATTTGCCTGTGAATGTCTCTGTGAAATAGACTCTTTCATGCTGTGCTTCCCTAAGAACAAGTGTTTTGGCAGTCATATGGTAATGTGCAATAACTTGTATTTATCAGCTTCTTTTACCAATAAACACCATTGATGCTTGCCATTCACAAAACACAATTTTTTTAAAAAATGAAAACATTTTAAGTACTTGTTTAGCAGCCTTTAGGTTAATTTGTCAAATGACTCTATTAAGTCACAGAATTTTGTAGAATACATTTGATTTATTTCAATTCACACAAGTGTTTCATCACAGCTAGCTGGGTGTCTGGAGAAAAAAAATGAATGAATGTGATTAGATGTGTTTAATATATTCCACTGTTCTGTGTTATTGTATTCATTTTCTTCCACCCACTGCATGTAACACATTTTAACTGGTTATGTTACAATACTTCAGGTATCACTGTGTGTATTCTCTTTTTATTTTACACACCAAGGTAATTTTTTTCTTGCCTGTTTTTTTTGTTTTGAGTTGCAAATTAAGTACTTCTTCACACATAATAGCACAAACTGGGAGAAAGGGACAGTTTAATTAATTTACATGTGCACAGTTTGTCAACAGTTTAAGAAGACTGGAAAATAGCTTACTTTACTGTATGTGCATATAAAGAGCTGATTTCTGTGAAAAATACTTCTTTTTGAATAATATTCATACACAGTTAAGAAAGCATATTTGTGTTACAGAATTTGTGATGAGTTCCCATTGAATCTTTCTTTGTTATTGTCTTCGTGGGCAAACTCAGATTTTATCCCTACATTCTTGTAGTACATGTCCATACAGACACACATAGACATGCCTTAAGATTTAGAAGAAGCCATTTGGTTGATATAAAGTAATTTACAATATACGGTACTAATAAAAAGTTTGAGTACACCTACTTGAAACCAGGTTTTTCATGATTATCTGTGCTTTAAACTGAATAAACATGTCTGTAAACACTTAATTTTTAATTATATTATATGTGTACTTATAATCTTTAGTGAACTGCATTGCAAATGTTAACTTTTCATTGTCAATAAAATGAACACCCAAAGAAAGCAGATTTCAGTCTGAAACCCAGGTGAGTTAAAATTGAGAAATGTGTACAACATGGTGTTAGAACACTAAAAGAAGTTAAAAATTGTCTTTGTTAGATGTTCTCATGCTTAACTAGCACATTACCTCATTTACCTTTTGTCACCAATTATTAGTAAACAGGTGAGGGTCCACAATTACTATAAATATAGGGAGCATGGGCAAAAATTTGTAATTCCTGAATGAACATGGCAAAATATGCTCAGAAAGCAAGGAAAAAAGACAGTCTATAATTACTTTAAGAAATGAAGGTCAATCTTTAAGACAAATCACAAGAACTTTTCAAGTGTCAGTAACTGCTGTGGCCAAGACTATCAAACGATATGAAGAAACTGGCACTCATGAGGACCGAAAAAGGCCAGGCAGGCCAAAGGTGACCTCAGAATTTCAGAATACGTTCATTAGAGTCACAAGTCTGCGAAACCGGAGACTAACTGCCCCTGAAATACAAGCTGAGCTCAATGCAACTAGAAGTACAGATGTTTGAACATCAACTGTTCAGAGGAGGTTGCATGAAGCTGGCCTCAAAGGTCCAGTTTTTGTGTTTTTTGGCCCAAGCAAGTCTCTTCCTCTTATTCTGGTTTCTTAACAATGGTTTCTTTGCAGCAATTCTTCCTGGTAGGCCAGTTTCTTGGTACCGTTTGACAACAAACATTTTGACTGGTACTGTATATTAAGGAAAGCCACCTCATCTTCATTTTGTCAGTTAACTGTCAGTTTCTGTCTCCATTCTTGTGTGGTCAACTTAAAAAAAATATTTCGGAAGCTGAAAAATTGAAGCTGTTTTCATTTCATTTCAGGATTGTAAAATGTATTTTATATAGTAAGGAACCCATTGAAATGGGAAATTCTGCTGGAGAAGAAAGTGCGCTATCTGCTGGTGAACTAACAACAAAGAAAGCTGTGAAATGTATAAATACAAAGCACTCTTCATATGACGTTTATTCCTTTTACTTTCTTCTGAAAATAAAGTTATCTTATTCGTCGTATACAGTATGTATTGCTGCCCAATTTTAATGTTTAGTTTTTGCAACAATAATAATAATTCTTTACACTTATATAGTGCTTTTCTGCACTCTTCACTCATAGTGCTTTTACAGCATTTCCACCACCATCAATGTGATGCAAGTATGAGATAGCGTGCTCCTCACACATCAGCTAACAATGGGGAGGAGAACCCCATTCATGAAGCCACTTCATAAATGGGGTTTATTAGGAGGCCATGATTGGTAAAGGCCAATGGGAAATTTGGTCAGGGCATGGGGTAACACCTCTAATCTTTTCAAGAAACACCCTGGGATTTTTAACAACCACAGATAGTCAGGACCTTGGTTTTACATCTCATCTCATCCAAAGGACAGTGCCTTTTTACAGTATAGTGTTCCCGTAACTATACTGGGGTTTTAGGACCCACATAGACTGCAGGGTGAGCGCCCCCTGATGGCCCCACTAACACCAATTCCAGCAGCAACCTTAGTTTTTCCCAGGAGGACTCCTATCCAGGTACTAACCAGGCTCACACCTGCTGAGCTTCAGTGGGCTGCCAGTTGTGAGTTGCAATAGTGAGTCAACAACACGTGACTAAGTACAATCAGGGGACAATCTGTCGTAGACATGAAACTTTTTTACCAACCCGTAAATTGTTGCTATTGCTTAAAGTTAATAGATATTATACACTATTGTTCAGTATGGATAATTGAGAAGAACTTATTAAATGACTATGAAGACGAGAATTATGTAGCACTGTAGCTTATAAACAACAACAACAACAACAACGTAAAACTTGCACTTATTGACAGTATTAACACCGACATTGACAATAATATGACAATGTATTTTACACTTTAACCATCATTACAGTACATACATTTATGATACGTGTTGGATAATACACCAAGTATCATTTCCAACCAAACCTTATCAGTCCGTTTTTCTAGAGAGAATATCACCACCAAAAATTGTTAGAAATATTTGTGACCTTGTAATTTGATCTTATAAAGTGCTTTGATTTGCGCAATTAAACCAACAATGGGAACGTACATATAACGTAGCACTACTGACTTCAATTTTGAAAATCTTAACATTGAATCCCTACATGGGAATTAAAATATTTTGGTCTTCGCTTTAGCTGCGTTTGAACCGTCTTCTAAAAGAATCGCCCTAAACATGCTGTAACCCCCATTTTAAGATGCATGAAGCATTACTATTCAATGTCGAGTCCCGTACTTCACTAGCACTGCTCGGTCCTGCGTGTAACCGATTCTGCAAAGAGCTTATTCCTGATGCACAGGCTGTCTCCGGAACCACCGCAGCACTCGCGGTGCTTGGCCGCAGTCTCGCGAGCGGGCCCGTCTCCCTGGCTGGAGAGGGAGAAATGAGGTCGGAGAAAGAGCCGGCGACCGGGGGCAGGGCAAGAAGGATTGTCGAAATTCAGTTTAGAGACCTCCCGAGAGATCAGGATACCGTTCCGGCAAATTTAAAACACAAGGAAGAGAAAAAAGAAGTCTTTACAAAGGTAAGGCTGCGAATGTGTTTCAAGCGCTGCACAGTTGGATTTCCGACATGGAGGTGAAGCCGGAGATCAGCACCATAGACAGCGATACATGTGAAAGAGCCACGCAGTGCTGCAGAAATGTTGAAGTTAACTGAAGTTGGTTACTCAGAAAGCAGTCTGAAATGCGCATTGTACATTGTACATGCTATAATAAACATGTTACACCTGACGTTTCTGAGTCATTTACATTCAAACATATTTACGCTTTTCCAACGAGCTGTTTACGTGGCGTAACCGTGTCTGATTTCTGTAAACGTAGTGGTCTTCAATGTGGGTCTTTTCACTATTTTAGAAGTAAATTTGTTGCAATATTTAAGCAGTTCGTGTAAATTAACTTTACAAATGAGAGGAAACGGGGTGTGCGGTATAATTCAAATAGCTATTTTTTTAACTCATTGATCACAAGCTAAAAAGGTTGATGCCTAATACCAATCAATGAAAATGAAAGCTTTTTAAAAAATAATATTTTATATACAGTGCCTTCTGTTACGTGACGTTTCGACGATATCTAGAAAGCAGCCGAAAAATATTAAAGAAATTCGTGTTTATGGAGGAACTTGAGTCTGACCTTGATAAGATTTGGAAACGGTGTTACTGATGTCTCCTATGGACCCAAGCTTAGAAATACTACAAATAGGAACTAAGAACACTACGTGTATGGAATATAATATTATTATTATTAGAATTTAATTTATTATTATCAATTTATTTATTATTTCATTATTAATATTACATTTATATCGAATTCAGATGTCCAATCTACAGCGCAGTTATTGGCTATCCATTACTGTTAACATGCGTATAATATAATTATCTTAGATTAGGGTGGATTTCTTGGATCAAGATGTTCAAACATTTTTTGTGTTATTTCATTGTATTTTTGATACTACAAGAAGCATTGGCAGTCAGCAGCCACAACCTGGGTTCAGAGAATCCTGCTTTCGCCCTTAACTTTAGGATGTTTTGCTTGAACATACTGTTGCCTGTGTTCCTGTAAGCCTCTTGCGGGGATTCAATTCACCCAACCAGGAAAACACGTAGCCAACAACAGAGATCAGCATGAAGGATATAAAAATAATCTATCCATTTTCTAACTGCTTCATCCAATACAGGGACGAGGGGGAGCCAGAGCCTATCCAGGCATGCTACAGGTGCGAGGCAGGATACACCCTGGACAGGATGCCAGTCGATTGCAGGGCACCCACAGACACAGACATGCTCACACTCACTTTTCCCAGGGCCAATTTTCCCAGAAGCCACTCAACTAACTAACATGTCTTTGGCCTGTGGGAGGAAACTGGAGCACCCAGAGGAAACCCACACAAACACAGTGAGAACATACAAACTCCACACAGATAGCATCCTAGATTGGGAATTTAATCCAATGGTCCCAGCTCTGTGAGGTAGCAATGCTATCCACCTACGTTCAGCTTCTCAACATTTTATCCAAAATGGCTAAAGCCATTGTCCTGGATAAATTCCACTTTGTTTTTACACAATTTGACTTCTGTCCTTAATTCTGGGAATTATGGGCTGTTGGCGCATAATGGCTGCCACATGTCACCCAAGTGGCTGCACTTCAGGGGTGGATGAACGGGGTATATATACCTCCTATAAAGGAACAAGTAAAGGTTTATTCCATGCTGAAAAGAAAAAAAAAAGAGACGCAAACTTTACCTGTTTCTTTGTAGCCTACTCATGCTGACACAGCTACCTTCTTGAACTACTATATACCTCCTGTATATGTTAAATGCTTTGTGATCTTAAGGAATATACTGTGCTGCTAAATATAAGGAATTTATCATTTTTATGGTTAAAAACAGTCATGACCATTCATTTTCTGTTTCATCATAATGATTATTGTCCTATTTTCTTACAACGTATATTTCTGAAAACAAAATTAGTTATTGAACACATAATACCACATTTGATGTCCAGGCACAGACTGATGTTCCATCCATGCTTTGTGTAGAATCTCAACAACCACTTTTTACTCCATCCTCTACTGTTAAAAGACGCTGCAGTGGAGATTTTGATACCTTGGCAGGATATATTTAAATACACAGAATAGACACATAGACCAAACAAGAAACAAATGCCTAACTCTGTAATTAAAGCTCTAACTAAACTCTTCAGTCACATACTATCAATCAGGCAGCTAGTCCGCTTTGAACATACAAAAAATACTGGAAAAAATATTTGGGTTTTAAATAAAATTAAAGTAATACGAATCCTTTATCCCTGTTTCATTGTTAGGTCCCAACAGCAAATATGGACTTTCCTTGAAATTCTCTTCTGTCTGACTGTCCTGGAATTTCTGTAGCCCAGCATTGAAAAGGACTGCTGAGGCATTCCTATTTGTCAATGCCCCAGATGAACTTTGCCCCTCATTGTCAGCTGGGGGAGGGGAATCATGGGACCCGTAGTTCTCCCTTGTCTCTCTCAGCTCTTTTATGGCATCTCTGCCACCTCGAAGTGTCACAATAAGTATAGAAATGCACACAGTATGTGATCAAGACATACACAATTCACTTTAAGTTGTGACTGAATTTCTTGTAGTCAGACTCTTATATACAAATCTACATATCTATATTGGGTTTTATAAAAAAAAAACGAATGCAGGCCAGAATGTTTGATAAAAAAGAAAACATTAATGCATTGAAGAGATATATCATATTTAGAGTTACTGAGTCTGTGCTTCTTTTTTACACACAGAAAGTAATTATTAGTCGTATATTTGGACTGTATGTTCCAGGTACCACTGAAACAGAAAGAGACATAGAAAGTTGTACAAATATGGGTTCTATTAAAGCACCAACTTCTAGTAAATAACATAACCTTAAATAACTATTTTCCAGTATAAATATTTATTACTTTTAGTTGTATTTTCCATGCTTTTTAATTAATATTTTTTAAGCTGTGTCAATCTAGAGATAGTACCAAAAGAGCACACTGTACATAAAGTATTTATTTACAAATCAATAAAATAACAACTTTGTAGTCACTTCATGTTCTGTTTAATTATCATTACACATAAATGTAGTATTTACATATTTTGAGCAAAACAAAAGAACAGCACCCAAACAAAAATATAGGCAATCATACAATAATATAAATATGGTTTATTTGCATTACAACAGAGATCTAGTCGGTGTTTAATAATAACAATAATGAAAACAACAATGATGTTTGTGCTGGGTACTTCCATTGTTACGCAATCACTCATTCTGTACAAGCTACTTCTTCCAGCTCTGGTTCAATAACTGTATGTGTTGTTTTTGACTTTAATAACCTATTTGGTTTTGAAAATCAGGTCCATAATCATGTCATCCATTGTATGAGAGGCTCAAAAGTCTCATCAAGATGTCATTTAATAGCAAGTTTGATTAAACATCTGTTTAAGGTTTACCTGTAAGTTTATTGAATTTAAAAACTACTCTTACAATATTTTGCAGGTAGTTATTCGGCGATTACCCCCAAATCTGTCAAAGGAACAGCTTGAAGAACAACTGAATCCTTTACCTGCATATGACTATTTTGAATTCTTCTCAGCTGATCAAAGGTAAGATAAAATAACTAAAGACTGGATTTAGTTATTGACAGTCTTTCTGGCTTCTTTTTAGGATTTATTTGTGCTAACTTGCAATAAAGTTCCATGCAATTGTATACGAAGTAAGTTGTAATTATAGCTTACCTATATAAAATTAGACCTAAAACATCATTCTAACAATTTTTTTCCTATTAAATCCTGACATATGGTATTTTACAATGAGTCAGTCATAATGCACTTGGTATATGATTCACTTCTTTGGTTTAATGTTTTAACAAAATTATATACTATAAAATGGTATATCTAAAACCTTAAATTATAATCATACTTAATAATTAGCCTAATTATTATTCATAACTGATGAAAGTCATATGAGTAGTCTGTTAAAAAATACTAAGAGGCCTTAAAAATGCAAGAGTTGATTCTGTTTTCAGTTTTTCCCCATATATACTATATATTCATAAATTCTCAGTTAAAATAATTTACTTAATTTGCAGCCAATTAACAAAACATGAATTGTATTTGCCAGGTTTGGTTGGTTTATGTGTTTTTGTACCTGTGACTGTGGATACGAAAAGCCAGAGAAAATTAGCATAAATCGTGGCTTGCCAAAAGGATGCAGAGGGCAGGACAATTTGCAGTAGTAATGCATTCAGATGGGTTCCACTCTTGAGTAACTGTGGTGAGGGGCAGGCGCCACATATGGGCAGAATCGCTATGTCTGATTCGGCCATAGGTGTGGAACAATGGTCAGGTTTATGGACTGATCACTGGAAGGTTGTGGGTTAAAATGCCCGGTGAGTTACTACTGCTGTTCTACATATGAGCAAGCTGCTTATCAATCCTACGCTTGAGTTGTTCCTGTTAAATACCTAACTATACCAATGTATGCATACAGTATGTATGTCACTGTGGATAAAAGCATCAGCCAAGTAATGAGATAGACTTTATCCTGCACCCAGAGAGACCTGGACTTTGCTCTGGTCACATAATCTCCCATACACTAAGATAGGAGCTGTCACCCACTAAACAAATGCTGGCTTGGTGCTAAATAACCAGTACAAGGCAACACAAAAACATTCCCAACAAGACTCAAACTGGCTCAAAGATGTATTCAGTGACTAGTCAGGATTCAAACAGTTTTGGCTCAAAAACAAGCAGATGGTGTACAGCCATGGAGAAGTATGAGATATTGAACTTGTACATTGAAAAAATGGACAGCCATGGTGTTTAACCTCCTTTCAGTTGATAATGGGTTCGATTTTGTGCAATTCATTGTTTTAGTTTAGGTGGGTAGCTCGTCAGCATGCGTAGGCTGCAAAGGAAGAAGTAATAGGTTTATTCCATGCTGAAAAGAGGGTTGCTCACACCTGAAGAAGGCTTCATGGCTGAAACGTTGTGTTTTCTTTCTTCTCTCTTCAGCATGGAATAAACCTATTACTTGTTCCTTTGCATCCATTGTTTTATGCCTATGACATAAATCTGTTTTTTCTAATTTTGTAAGATCTGAAGCTAATTTCATTCACAGTATAGTATATTAATGCCTCTCATTATTTAAACTTAGTAAAACACAAATGCTCTGAGTCTGGTTTAGAAGAATAGTGTAACTCACCTTAAAATATACATTACATTTAATAAAACAGGTAAATTGTAAAATCATGATATTATTTATTAATTAATTAAAACATTATTTATTAATATTATTTTCAGGTGCAAACATAATCACACTGTTTCAGAAATCCAGAAAAGCAGTGAGAACTGAAAGAAGTGCTCAGATGGTTTTGCCGAAATAATGTTTCAGAGAATGTGAATGAATAATGTGTTTACCTTTTTTCTTGTAGCCTTTACCCACACCTTTTTTCTAGAGCATACATTAATTTTAAAAACCCTGAGGACATTGTTCTGTTCAGAGACCGTTTTGATGGATATGTTTTCATAGACAACAAAGGTAATCCTTTACCTTGTTATAAGGTTGTTAATCCATTGTGTCTGTCTTTTACATGTCCATTGCATGGTAGCATTTCTTTGATTCATGTAAACTGATTTGGCCATAAAAATGTCAATAGCTGAACTGTCAATAGAGAATATTCATTTTTTATACTAGACAAAAGAATCTTCCAGAAATATTGGCAGCTCTTTATGCGAATGTTATAATTTAATTTCATTCCATCTCAAAAATACAATGAGATGGAATGATAACATCTTGACACATTCTGTAGGGAAATGGTATGAAAATCAAGAGCGGTTTTTTGCTACCTGGGAAAAGAGAAAAATCGTTTATTTGTTTCACTCACACAGAAATCGTAGAATCAGTGCGTTTTCTTTTTCAAACTAATATACTTTTTTTATTTAGGTCAGGAATATCCTGCGGTTGTAGAATTTGCACCATTTCAAAAAATTGCAAAGAAGAAGCTCAAAAAGAAAGATGCAAAAGCTGGCAGTATTGAAGAAGGTACCAATACCTATTTTTTCCGCTATCATACAGTATATAGCCAGTTCTCACTCAAAAACAGTTTTTAACTCCCTGCACTGGTGTCTTAAAGCAGATCTTTTGATGAATTCTTGGCAAAGACCAGTATTCTGGTTCCTAAAAAAACGTTGCTCACAATATTGTTGCTCACTGAAAAGCAGTATTCATTGAACTTTACTACTGATATTTGTTATTACTTACAAAAATAACCCTGCTGTCTTTTTTTCAAGACCCTGAGTACAGAAAGTTTCTGGAGAACTGTTGTGGTGACGAAGAGAAGGCTACTGCCAATCCTGAGACACTGCTTGGAGAAATAGAAGCAAAGACAAGGGAGCTTATAGGTAAATTGATTACTTTGACTTACAGAATGCTCCAAGAAGAAACATCAGAAAACGTGGTAGAGTTGTTGGTGTCATGGATTATTAACAACACAAGAGCCTCCTAATTACACAAGAGAATGTGTAATTAAGCCAGACAACACAGGACCTTGACTGACCTGCCCTTCAAAGCTGAAAATCCCTTTTTGAATGTGCACAGATATCTGATATCTGAGCAGATATTTAGGTGGATGCTGCAAATTGGTGGTGGTGGAGGGGAGTCCCCATTACCGGTAAAGCTCTTTGAGTGGAGTGTCCAGAAAAACACTATAACTATAAGTGTAAGCAAAAAATATTATTATTATTATTATTATTATTATTATTATTATTATTATTATTATTATTATTATTTAGAATATTCGTGGATAGGCTCAGGGTTACCATGATCCTCAAAAAAAAAAGCAGTTTTCTGATAATGTATGGATGTTTGGATGGGTACTGGTAAATATGATGAAATGTTGTATGCTTCTGAAAAGACAACAAAGATATAATTCAGGATGATTGACGATACTTTTAATTAGGAGTGTCTCATGTCAGATTAAGGGAGAGTATGTGTCACGCTTGGAATATAACAGGTTGTGCAATGTTTCCAGCAATAATTTCAGTTGATGTGTTCTAGTGAACTAGTGTTCAGTTGATTTCTATATATTTGTCACACATTGTACTATTGTACTATTTTTTTCTTATTATAATTAGCATACATTCCTGTCATTATTTCTGACTGGTTGTCACAGTATTATAAAATAAAGGGTTTACCTTGCACTGGACCGATTGATTCCTTCCTGTCAACAAAAGCACATTTTATTTCATTTTTTAAAACATTTATTTTCAGCCAAAAGAACAACACCACTTCTGGAATACATAAAAAACAAGAAACTAGAGAAACAGGTAGGAACATTCTGCTTTCCTTATCCGTAAAAACAGTCTGAAAACTGGATTAGAAACTGGAAAACTGGATTGTAATTGACAATTACAACCTGACAATTGAATTGAGTATCACATATCTGAAAGCAATGTTGCTGTTTTTAAAGTGAAATCATTCAAATTAAAAAAAGGTATTGTATAATCAAATTGCAATGGTATTTTTGCATAATTAAAGACAAACTCATAAATATGTTTAGATTAAATATAATATGTAATTAGTATAGTCTGAAGTGGTCAAATAGATCATTATTATCCAGAACTGTGTGACCGGCCTGTCCACAGGTGAGGATACTTGTGTGAACTTGCTACTCCTGCTCAAAATGCCAGTTTGAGTGCCTGTGGGACTGTAGTTACATTGAAGTCAAACAGGTAGTTTAGACACTGTGGTCTTAGTCGTGCCCTTCCTAAGAGTGATCTCACCCCAGTAACATTATAACATGGTGTGTAAACCCCAATCTGGAATAAATCCACAAGGGGAGGTATTGTAGCTATGGGCAGCGAACCTTGCGTCGGTGTAATTTTCAACAGCCAAAGTCCTTGTTTACAGCGGATCCGGGAGGAGAAGAGAGAGGAGCGGCGGCGCAGGGAGCTGGAGAAGAAGCGCCTGAGGGAGGAGGAGAAGAGGAAGCGCCGGGAGGAAGAGAGGCGCCGGCGGAAGGAAGCGGACAAGCAGAAGAAGCTGGCCGAGAAGGAAATTAAGATCAAGGTCTCGCCTTTTCTTGGCTGCTGTACAACTCCACCATGTTGGTTTTCCCTGTGGTGAATAGGCAAAGCAGAAGTTACACAAATGACGGTGGACTGTTTGCCCATTCCTGGTGTTGTGGAGTTCTCCTCTTCGTCTCACACTGATGTAGTTTGATTTATTAATATTAAACCGGGCTGGGAGAGTTGAAAAAAAAATCCATACCACTGAAGCAGAAGGTCCTGGGAGACCCTTTATGTATCGGGATAAGCGTGTGGGGTTTAAAGATCAAGGGAGCACAGATCACTGATTACCATCAGGAGCAAAACTCTTGACACTTGGATTGGCATAATGTGCCATTATATTAGTTCTCTACCTGTAAAATAATGATTTTGCCTTACCCGGACCTCAGCAATCCTCTCCATTTTTTCTGTATGTACATGCCCTATTCTTACGCAATGAGATTTATCAAAATCTTTACTCTTGTCTAATATGGAGGCAGCTGTAATCTGTATTTATTGAAAATCATGCAGCCTAGTGCTGGACAGTCACAATTTTAGGTGCCTCTGGACTGCATTTCTGGTTTTTCTGTGATGCCCAGTTGAGTTAGTGATCTCATGGTGGCCTGTCCTGCTTGGTTGCTTGTGGTTAACAGGCAGTGCTAAACTGGTAAATCTGTGTTCTGTAAACCACCTTTGCATGTGCACATTCACGAACACATTTCTTCTTAATGTTTCAAATTGTGTCCATTATTTTAAGAGCTGTGAATGTTCATTTATTCCCCAGTTGGAACAAACCCTCATTTATTTTCAATAACAAATTCATATTATTGCATACAGAATATTACTATTAACATGAAATTAAGCCTCAAATACAACATTTATGGGGAACATTTTAAACAGTGGGTAATGATTGGTTATGACTTTTAATGTGTTTTCATTTCAGCTTCTTAAGAAGCCTGAGAAAGATGATGACCTAGATTCCAACAGACTGAAAGAAAAAGGAGACAGTGGTGATACGGAGAATAGCAAATGGGATAAAGTGTCTTCATCTGGACACATGAAAGTTAAACATTTGGACAAAGAGTCAAGAGACAAGTAAGACACACATTCAGTGTTATTATGTAACTTACATAATAAGGTATAGTGTCTTTTATGTGCAATGCTAAGAAGGTGGGTTTTTAAATTCCAGTAAACATCAGTGTTTAATGAAGACCTGAATCTTTTAGTATTTATTTACAACCAAATGAGCTAGGATGGGCTGAACAGACTCCTGTTGTCTGTACCCTTTCTTATATTACAATTTTAATTCTAAACATAATTAATCATTTTGAAGTTAGACAAGTATTAACACATTTTAAACAGAAGCAAAACTCTTAGAATTCTGTCTTTATTTTCTGAAGTGTCATGCATTAAATATATTTTTCATTCAGATATTTTCACTATGTGAATTTAAAATGAAAAACAAATTATAACATTTCAGGAAAAAAAGTTTTAATTTGTTTTAATTTGAGTCCCATGGTCAAAGGATGGGGAGTAGGTGGCACAGAGGTAACATATTTAAGTTAGAAGGGACCTGCAAAGCTATTTTTTATATTTTGGTTGAAACGAATTAGCATTGATAAGTGCATTTCAAAACGCAATGAAATTCAAATGTACACAATAATGTGCAAAACCTGTAATTTACATCACAAAATCAACTACATTTATAGGTATGTACAGCACCATATTTCCATCATTGTCTGTAATTCAGAATGAGGCAACAAAACAAGGCCCTATTTCATTGTAAACACGCAGGATTGTCTTTTAATCCAATAGAAATATTGTTTTTAATGTTGAGGTGGTTTTGCCGACAAATACTACTTACTTATTAACTCTTCATGTAAATCATGTTTGAACATTTCTGTGGTGAAATGTCTGCTGCACAACCTGTACTTACTGTATTAACTCGTACATCGCACTAAGTTAGTCATTGCAGTGACTAGTGAGCAGAAAGGGCCATATCACATCACAATTCATGCGAACTCTCACTCTTGCACATGGCGAAACCAGTGGGTTGCAACAACACGGTGACCATACAGTACTTTCACAATTTTCTGCTTAATGCGGAATTGGTAAAATTTTACAATACCTTCAATTAATTTAGTTTGTTACCAAGATTTAATAATTGGCCTGAGAAACTGGGACCGCAGTTCCCCTTTAAGGAAAGTGGGTCACCTCCTATACTGTATGTAAGGCAGTTTGAGGTCATTTTGCAAGAAAAGAGCAAAATAAAATGCAAAGAGCTATTATCTTCCTCATCACCATTTCTGTCACGTCCACTCAGAGCTCAGACGGAGAGTGACAAAGAGCAGCGTGAGTATGGGAGGAGGCTCAGAGACAAGGACCCCGAGAGACAGAGAGGCCGGGATGAGGAGCGCAAAAGGCAGAGGCACCACTACGAGTTCGACAAGTTCATGAGGCGCAAGGAAGAGATCAAGTGGGGCAAAGGATACTGCCAGGATCGAGCAAAGAAAGAGGGCCACAGCAGCTACTCATACTGCAGCGACCTGGGAGAAAAACTGGGGAAAGATGACCGGACTGATGACATTGGGTCCCGGAAAGAACGCATTCGCAACAAGGTGAGGAAATCGGGCTGAGCTGAAAAGCATCAATCATTGTTTTCACTAAAGAGTATGAATACAGATCTTGATTCATTAAATAATTAACATTTAATTGCGATAAGAACCATTATTTAAACATGCCAAATTTTGGATTGTTAATGCTGCTCATCAAATGAACATTGAATCATGTTAGTAGCAATAGTAAGCATATGCTGGTGTTGAAATAGTTCAGCTAAGTCTTAAGATATGTCCTGATAGAGTTAAGTGATACTTTTAAAATACACTGTGGTGAAAAAGTAAGTACACTCCCTCAAAGATTTTATGAGTTTTAAGATTTTAAATATTTAGTCATATTTGACTTTCACTCAGTCCTCTCCAAGTTAGTAGATAAAACTAACGTCATTTCACAAATAACACACAAAAATTCTGCTTTGTCATTATTTATTTAAAAAACAGCTCGCATTCACTCTTTTGGTGTGAAAAAGTAAGTGCACCCCTTGATCCAGTAACTTGTGGCAAACACTTAAGCAGCAATAACTAAATAAATAATTTACATTATAATTTATATAATTTATTTATTATAATATTTTTCCTGTGAGAGTTGATCAGTCTCTCACATCACCTGGGTGGTATTCTGTTCCACTCCTCCTTACAAAATTGCTTCATCTCTGTGAGGGCTTTCCTGTATGCACAGCTCTCTTTAGGTACCACCACAGCATCTTTATGGGATTTAGGTCTGGATTTCTTTCTTTTTGAGCCATTGTATTGTAGATTTGCTTTTTCTTGTGTTTTGGACCATTGTCCTGTTGCATAATTCACTTTCATTTCAGTTTTACCTATCAGAACTGTTTTAACTTACAGTACATTGTCCTCTAGAATACTCTGGTATAAAGTGGAATTCATGATAAATTGAATGATAGCCTAAGTTCCTTAGGCAGTAAAGCAGACCCAAACCATGACCCCAACAGGTATGAGGTTCCTCTGGTCAAAGACAGTTGTTTTGCTTTATGGCCAAACAACTCCACTTTTGACTCACCTAGGTTACAGAAGTCTTGGTTGCCATTCAAGTACTGGTTTAAAAAAGTAAGCCATGCAGCGGTGTTCTTGGAGAACACAGGTTTCCTCCTGGCTGTCCTTCTATGAAAGCAATTCTTGTTTGAACTTTTCCTGATAGTGGATTCTTGAACTCTGACATTTACCACAGTGAGAGAGGTCTGTAGATCCTTGGATGTACCCTTGGTGTTCTTTAGACCTCTAGGAGTGTCATACTATCAGATCTACATACTGTACATACAGAGATAATTTGGTAGGACAGTCACTCCTGGGTAGATAAGCTACAGTCTTGCCTTTTCACTGTTTGTAGATTATCTGTTTTACCATGGAATGATGGACTACATATTCTTTTGAAATGGCCTTATAACACTTCCCAAACTGATAATAATATCAGCAATATTTTATTTTCCTAAAGTTCACTGATTTTTAATCTGGGCATGATGTGTTACTGTACTACAAACCTGAGTGTGTAAAACGAACCTGACAAAGTTTCTGATTTTTTATGCAGATAGAATAACTTCCATCTGATGATCAACTAATCATTTGTACATGTGCAGCTGACTCTACACACCCTATTAATTGAGGTGGTTGAGCTTACTTTTTCACACAAAGAGAGTGAATTCTGGCAGATTTTATTTTTAGATACTGTAAATAATAACAGAGGAGAAATTTTAGTGGTATTTGTCAAATTAAGTTAGTTTTATTTAATATTACAACTTGATGTGGACTAGGTGAAGGTCAAATAGGTCTAAATATGTTATACCATAACCTGCCCCACCACATTACCTGCCTCATCGCAGCTTTGCAACACATTCTTAGATTTCTTTACCTCCAAGATTGACAACATCCGACATCACATTCTCTCCACTATGCATATCATTTCCATACTCTTCCCTCCTTATCCAATTTCTGGTTCCCTTCTCTCCAACTTCTCTCTTATTGACTCAGCATCCCTAAATAGGCTCCACGGCCGAAACGTTGTGTTCTCTTTCTTCTTCTTTTTTTCAGCATGGAATAAACCTATTACTTGTTCCTTTGTAAACTAGTTACATACATGAAACCCACGACATCTGTTTTAGATCCCATTCCCACCACTTTATATCAGTCCTGTTTCTCTTCTCTCTGTCCCATTGTCCTCAATATTATAAATTAATCCTTGAGCACTGGTATTGTACCAACAGTCCTCAAAACTGCTGCCATTACCCCCATGCCCAGAAAGCCTAACATGGCTCTCGACAATCTAAACAATTTTCGTTCCCATCTCCAACTTATCCTTTCTTACAAAAATTCTAGAACACACTGTCACATACTGTCACACACTGTTACATAGCCATTCATGGCAAAAAACCTTTTTGAAACTCTCCAATCTGGCTTCCATCAACTTCACAGCACAGAAACTGCCCTGGTCAAAGTCACTAACAATCTTCTAATGGCTTCTGATTCTGGTTCTCTTTCAATACTCATCCTTCTTGATCTCTGTGCTGCTTTTGACACTGTTGACCATGACATCTTACTTTCTCGTCTTGAGATTGTGTTTGGAGTTTCTGACACTGCTCTCAAATGGTTAAAATTTTACCTCACTGATCGCTGACACTTTGTCTCTCTTAATGGGTAGGTCTGAAATTGGCCTTGTTAAGTCTGGTGTTCCTCAAGGCTCAATACTGGGCCCCTTGCTCCTCAACATTTACATGTTTCCACTTGGTCAGCTTTTAAGATCACATGGCCTCAGCTATCATTTCTATGCTGATGATACTCAAATATACATCCATACCAAACCTGACATTGATGTGGCTGTCTCTATTCTATCTAAATGCATCTTTGACATAAAAACTTGGATGACTCAAAATTTCCTTCATCTTAACTGTGACAAGACTAAAGTCATGTTTATAGGCACCCCCCATCAACTTTGTAAAGCCAATCCTGTAACCCTATCTGTAGATAGTTCTGTACTTGAGCTTCAGTCTAAATTGAAAAACCTTGGGGTGATATTCAATTCTGGCTTAATATTCGACCCACATGTGCAGCATATTGTCAAAACATATTTTTTTCAACTTAGAAATATCGCTAGACTACGCCCTATGTTATCACTAACCGTGGCTAAAAAGCTGATCAACACATTAGAGTTTTCCTGGATTTACTACTGTAATGCTCTACTCGCTGGGGTATCTAAATCTACATTGAACAAACTGCAGTATGTCCAAAATTTGGCAGCCAGAATCCTGACCAGGTCTAGTGCAAGTGTTCACATTACTCCTATCCTGGAATCCTTGCACTGACTTACTGTCAAATTCCGTGTGGACTTTAAAATCCTCATGCTCACCTATAAGGCTCTGCATGGCTTGGTACCTCAGTACCTGTCTGAACTATTAATGCCCTACTCCCCACCTCGCAACCTTCACTCTTCTAATTCTGCCCTCCTTACTGCCCCCAAGCCCGTCTTCATTCTATGGGTGACAGGGCCTTCTCATGTTATGCCCTTAAGCTCTGGAACTCTCTCCCCAAAGATTTCAGAGAATCACCTTCTCTAAACTGCTTCAAATCCAGTCTCAAAACCTTCTTCTTTAAAAAAGCCTTAAATTTAACTGGTTCCATTCTTTACCCCTCTGCTCCTACTACGGTATACTTAATACCACCACCCACAGTCTCCTCTGTATATTGTAATTGCGTTTTATGTTGTGTATTCTTTTTATTTATTGTTGTGTTCATTCTGTAAAGCACTTTGAGAAGCCACCTTTAAAGGTCCTATGTAAAATAAAGTTTATTATTATTATTAAATTGTAATGGGATGTACTTTTTCACCACAGTGTACTTTTTATCCGTTTTAAATGTTTGACTTTGTCCTTGTACCAGTGACTAGGTACTGTAGTATGCATGGGGACTATGCAAGAATCAGTTTGCTTTCTCAAAACTTTCTCATTTCCCTAAATTAGAGGAACTGCTAGTTTTTTATGTATCCAACAAAATATACCTTTGCTCATCACAATGGTATGTCATTATTTGTTTTTTTGATAGACATTGCTTCTTCTTTACAGAAATATTGAGGACAAGAACTGCAGTGTTATTGCAATAGCTGTATATAATGCAGGAAGATCAGCACTGATGAAGTCCATGATGCTGATTGTACAATATGATCAAATTAATTATGCCTTATTATTTGCACAGCAAAACACTTGATTTCTTACACCAGTTCGATTTAAGTTAAACCAAAATAGATTAACTACAACACATATGAAAAAATGTTATCGCCCAAAAAATGAATGCTGATTTTTGGCATTAAATATTATGTTCTTTTTATTGTTCAGCCATTTCTATTTGATCTTTGATGTAGATTTCACAGCTTCCGAGTTATAAGCTTTATGACTGTGCCTGACAATCAATAGATAAAAGTAGTTGTTGTTTTATCAGGACAGTTCACCATTTCATGAATTTCTGTAGTAAAATCAAGCTTATAAAGTGACTTATGGAAGAGTTCAGTTCTCCTGAGGCTCATGGCCTTACATCTTCTTCCATCCTGCCTCGTGTTTTTGAAGTTGTACATCCACATTCAACCAATCGTAAATACGGCGATTAGCTGGAATCAAGCTATGGCTTCCTTGGGCTGAAAAGTGATTGAAGGAACATGTTTCTCAGTCTGTGTTAGTGCACCAAGAGAAAAGGACCTCCCATTCAGAGGGGCGTGACGTGATAGGAGGGGCTCTGCCAGCGAAGGTACAGCTAGCTTTTGAGCCTTTCTACCCAGGGGAGGGAATGTTGTACAGCGTCAAGGGGAGGCTCCATCCAGGAAAATGCCCAATTTTGACAGCAAAAGAAAAGCAATAATGCAAAGCGAGCATTAGTCCTTTTTTATTTAATCTTTGAAAAACTCTAGAAAAGAACTGGATATTCCCTAAAAAGGTGGTCAATTCATGTTTTTAGAGGGAAATTATAATTATCCTTATGCAAGGAAAATGTATTTTAGACAAGACGACACAGCTACAAATAATTTTCTTGGGATCAGTGGAAGAAGAGAGAATTCATAGCCTGGACAGTGGATCAAAACCAGTGTTCATTCAGTGCTGCGTTCACTGTTCTGGAAATTGGTACATAAGACGCTGGTGGATTGATTATCTTAGCTTAGCCTTCACATTTGTGTCCCATAAAAATATATAAATGTTTCAGTAAATCGTAATATTTTTCAAGCACGTTTTGCTAATCCTTTTTCAATATTTCACTTTAAAAAATCCTTCAGTCTAAATATAAAATTGTATTTATGTCTTTTGCTGTCAATAAACATGGCATTTGCATCATTTGACATTTCTAACTACATTGTGAAATAGGAAAAAATACATTGAGTGACATCGTGCATAAAAATACATGATCTGTGGCTCTAAAACTGATGCTACATTTGGCAGATGTATGAGGGTTTCAATAAATTAGGTAACAAGAGCTCATACCATATCATGGTAATGTAATTATGCATAGCATAAGGTGTAACCAATAATAAGGCAGTAGTACACAACATATCTCCAGACCTGTGCAGGCATGTGACCCACTGCGAAACAATGTACTGAAGTTAGAGAAGTAGAAATCCATGTCTAGCAGCTGAAACCAAGACTTTGCTGCTTACTTTGCTCTCCTGGCTTCTTGAGACGGATAAGATGGAAATCATTGGCTGCAATTCTGGGCTATAAGTTAGACAGATCTGCACCTATCTCTTATAATGCCATATTCACGTGCAGGTAGTTTTCACCATCCGCACTGTGTGGCCTAGCATTATGGTGAATCAATATGACACCCAATTTTGAGGGACCGTTTCCTGCAACTAGTTCAGCAGGTAATGGACCTGCTCAGCCTTCACCATGTCAGCCTATCAAAGGAAATCACAGTTCCCAGAATATAATTCTCAAGGGCCTCCTTGCCCATGAAATTGTTTTCATAGGAGGGGACTACAGAGGTATCCATACCATAACTACTGATTTCCACTGCAGTGTCACATGATTCATGTACATTTCAACTCCTATAGTAGTGCACTGCAGGAAGTACACTATGTTTCCATGGTAACATGTTAAAGACAGAGACAATGAGAGTTTCATCCAGGAGGATCTGTGATTTTCTGATAGTTGATAATTAGCAAGGCAAATACTGAGGTTATTTACAATGATGGCATGTTTCAATGTCTACCCTTATCAGGCCTTAATTGTGGAAGATATATACTTTTTTGGAAGAGGTGCTTAGACACTCAGACTCCTGCTTATCTTGAGAATCTGTTGCTATTATCATCAGCATTCCTGTTCCCCCAGCCAGGCACAGGGTCTGTAATAACTTGACAGGAAAATTCTGCCTGCGTTATACTCTCCACTGGCCGAAACTGAATCAAAAAGCCCACTTCGGTATTTGACCACATTTGCACAGTTTAGCCAGCCACGTATAAACAGAAAGGTAACATCACCACCAGCTGGTGGCGCAGTCCCATTGGCTCTGGATGAAGCAGATGGTAATGTTACAGTATTTAAACACACTGGAGCAACTCATGTCCAACCATGAAAAATCTTGTTACCGTATTTATTGAAATGTCCTCTTGTGTATGTCTTTACCCACAAACTGAATGCTTTCATTTCCATAGTCCCCATTAGGCAAGCTTGGGTGGGGGGGAGGTTTTGTCTTGCAAAAATCTTCCATGAAATTATACAGGGAGTTTAAAATTTGAGTTTCTTTTCATGTGGTATTTATAGGACTGTTCAAAATAAAAAGAAAAAAATACAATTACAGCAGGGAAGATGGCTGGTAAGCAATTTAAAATGTAAAAAACAGTACACAGACTGACAGCGATAGATGCTGACAGGAGTGATCACATCGAGAGAGTAAAATGTACAAATATGTACGTAAGCAGCGAAATCACCTTTCGCTATGTGTAGGAGTTAAAGTTAAAGAAGATTTTTTTTTCTTGCTCAGCCGATTAGGTACTAACCATGTGGTCTAGCGTGGGTGTTTTTTTTTTATGATCGAGTGCGTCTCTTCTCTTTCTTCCTCTCCATCTACAACTTGTTTCAAACAGGACCGCCCTGCTATGCAGCTCTACCAGCCAGGGGCACGCAGCCGAACACGAATGGGGTCAGGGGGGAAAGTGTATGACTGCTCCAGCAACTCTCCGGAGAGCGCCGGCGAGAGGAAATACGATGCAGCAACAGGAACCAGGTCAGAAAAGGGTGAGGATGAGTAGCCAGGCTTATAGACACATCTGTTCCGCTCTGCACGGCTCAGAAGGGAGAACTACAGTATGTCATTTAAAAAAAACTGACCTGAAGTGTTTCATGGGCAGCGTAAATTCAGTTCAACATGGCACAGTTTTTTTTTGTCTATTTCCTTTGTATTCTAACATAAAAAAATCTGTATATGGAATATTGCATTTCTGAAGTCTGCAGTATATGAATGTGATGTATTGAGCAGCTGTGAATGCAATAGTGCAGCTGTGTTTGAGTGTAATGCCAGATGGATGTCACTGCCTGATCAATGTTTATTTATATATGTACAATGTTATAAGAATATTTTGTATAAACAAATGCACATTTAAAATATCTGTTACCTGATAATGGGGTGAAGCTGATACTCCTATAATCTAGTAAGATGTTTTTGCAAATGTATTTTGCAGTGTATGGTAGCTGATTCTGTTCGACAATATAGAATATGTGTAAAAATTATAAATATCACAAATATTTATGGTGAAAGTCTGTATTTCAAAATAAATGTGATGTCATTGCATCACTGAATAGAGTATTTACAATATATTGTTAAAACATTATCTTAGGGTCTATTTTAAAATGTTTTAAAAAATGTTTCTATTTGCTTTGTTTTCTGAAGGAATTTATTTTCCTTTGTGCAATCTTTTAAATGTTGTTCACATTTTGTATAAAATACTCTAATATACATTTTTTTCAAAGTATATTTGTATTTAATGGTCATGTGTGTGCGTACATAAAGTTGTATCTGGCAAATTGAAAAATGCAAACAACCAGCATTGCACTCAACTTAATACTGTAAGAACAAAATATTTGTCTCTTATTTTTTTGTTTAATCAAAATATCACAAGTGTACTGCAACTGCAAGTCAAGACTCTTGTTTTCTACTTAGTGTAGATCATTTTCTGTTAATAAAAATAGTATGTTACACAATTTTAAAAGGATCTTTTTTTTCTTATCAGTGAAACCTGCATTCTTTTTCATTGGAATAAGTAATGCCTTAAATACAATGTGCTATTGCAGCCCATTAAGAATTTTATTTATGATGTACTACCATAAGTAGGTGTCTTAAAAGGAAGTCACTCTATATAAGTTGCAAATAAGAATTTTAATGGAGTATTCTAATTTGTAATTATTGATCTCAGTGTTACCATTTAAAGCCTGATAGGTGTTCTTACTGTAGCTATATGCATGATAAATTCCGAAACGATTAATTTTTCAAAGTATCGTTTTTGCCCACCCACCTCTGTTGCCTGACTTAGTCTTAAAGAACCTGGTGTCTGTGAAGCAGCTTCTTCAAGCACAAGCCCAAGTTTCTTACATAAGCAGGACTGACATCTTCACTAAACTACCTTGCTCTTTCAGACTCTCATTACTGCTGCACATGTAAGTATTGGCATAACTGCCCCTGGACCTGGCCCACTAATCGTTATTGAATAATGATTATTGATTACTGATGTAACTAATGATGGAAGCAGCAGCATCATGAATTATAAAGTTGACAGCAACATTTTGCTGATTATGTAAAGGAAAATGTTCCCACACCTATTGGGGTGTACTACACCTTGCAGCATGGCGGTGACCCAAAACATTTAGCCAATGAAACCAAGGAATTAATCGGGAAAGCAGAGTAGAAGGAAGTAGAAAGGAAGTAGAAAATCATAACATGGCTAAGTCAAACCACAGATTTAAATATAGCTAAGCAAATTATTTTCTATGCAGGAAAAAATGAAAGTCACCCAACCCCAAGAATAGACAAAAACCCCAAGTGACTACAGCAAAGCATCTCAGATGAATGCACTTAGACCTTGATGGGCTGAATTGATCGCAGACATTATGCAGGGATTGCTTCAAAGTCATACCTGTATCCAACCAATTAATGCCTTTTGCACTTTGAAATTTGGCAAAATTTGTATTCAAAATACAGCTCCACCCAAAAATAACTGGAAGAAAGAAATTATCACAATTGGGTGGAGCTTTTAGGTTCAGGAGTGCTCAATATGGTAGACCACAGCACTACCTCATGTCCATAAATGTTTTTTCTTTCGGTAGAACAGGTTGCTGCAGTGCAGTTGTGTATTTTTGCTTAGGTCGAACGTTTCTAAATGCCTGATGTCACAGTAATCAGAAGAAAAAAAAACTATTTTATCTATTATTAGTAATCTTATTATGTCTCCTGAAACAGTATGTTAAGAATAGCATTTGCAGTTGGTTTAGCTCTTAACTCCACTTCTTGTCTGCTGGTTAAATAGTCAGACCTTTCTGCTCTTTCTGCACAAGGGTAGCGAATGAGCCGTTTCATTTTTGACATGACTGTAGTTTCCATCAGTTCACAAGGCATCTCACATAAAACCCCGGAGTCCCAAAAAAAGTAGATTTATGGGCTCACTATTTCATGTTTTTAACATCAGCTTTGAATTTCAGCTGGATTTCCTTATCTTACCAGTCAAGGCTTATCTCTGCTGAGAAGCATGGTGCCTATTCCAATTGAAAAATCCTTGGAAACTAACAAATACATGTTTAACATGGGTATGAATGCCTTCTGTAGCTGCCGGTGTATCAGCAATGAGACATTTCAGATCCATGCAGGTGCCTGTCTGGTTTGCAGGAGGTTGGACGGGTCATCATGTATTAAAGAAGTTCCAGACACTTCCTCTGTCTGATGTGCTTCTTCACTGCTGAGACATAAGCTATGGTGTATGATACAAAAGGGATAAAAAATTGTCATTCTTTCTCCAGAACCAAAAAAAAGAAGATTCAAAAGAGAATTTGAGTGATAGCAACAAAAGCAAGAAAGTCCCTATCAAGGATGAAACCAAAAAGCCCCAAGCTGGGAATGGAAAAGCCCCAAAATGGGGATTTTTTTTTCAGAGTGTTCCAGCTCTCTATCCCATCCACTGTGTATTCCAACCCTGTGCCCTGGGCTGCTGGGATAGGTTCTGGGTTCTTGTTATCCTCACGAGGAAAGCGTGGCTTGAAATTTCAATATATTTAGTGCAAACAATGAGGATGTAAAAAACGTATTCTTCCAGAAGGTGTCAGTGTTTCACTATGCACCTGTTCTGTTGCAAACTCTGTAGAACTCAACATATCTTGACTCAGTTCCTAAACTGCCATTTTATTATATGTAAATCATGAGCACACCCACATTTGTTTTTATGTATGTTATTATACTTATTACTTATAAAAAATGTTTAAAAAATGCGTAAGTGGATTTACAGAAAACTTTTACTTAAAACAGATTATCAGTGGTGTTGCAGGCAGTTGTAAAATCCTCAAAACCTAAGCTTGTTGGTAAACACATTTGTGTGACGTGTCACTGAGCTGTAATCCACAAATGCAAAATGTTCTCAAAAACATTCAATTGAAGTGATATTAAATAGAGAAGTGCAAAGAAAACAGTTAACACCTTGGGGGGATTTGGTTACTGTTAAGTCACACCTTTCAGTAATGTCTCATTGTTAACATCATATATCTTGACAAAACATTTCACAGATACAAATCTAGAGTTGCTGTCTGACAGAGACCACGCATTAACATTACTGACTAACAAGATTAAAGAAAAGGGACTTTTATTGAAGTAAACTATATAGTAAAGCATAGAATCTTGACAAAATAAACCTTTTCATGCATTTTTAATGATAATTGCCCATCTAGCACAGACTGAAGAATAGCTCAAGGCATTTGTCTGAAATCCCACATGTAATCATTGCCAAAGACTTTCACCGCCTGGTTCTGCTTACATTTGCAGTATTTCCTACCCCAAAACTTTAAAGTGAAAAAAAATAGCCTTTTTTGGAAAACTCATTACAAATAAAAGCTGAAATAGCTTGGTTGGATATGTGTCTACCCCCTTGTAATAGCAATCCTAAATTAGCCCGGTTGTAACCTTCAAACACCTTCAAAATCACACACCTAATTAAACAGCCTCAGTCTGTGTCAAACTGTAGTAATGCACACATTTCCTGGATAAATTCAGCAACTTCTGTAGGTTCCTGTTCTTCTGCTGGGTAGTGCATTTCAAAGGAAATTCCCGGTCTTCAACACTCAAAAGCTTTCAAAAGAAATCTGGCACAGTTGTGGAAAGGCACAGATTAGAGGATGGTTATAAAAAATACACAGAGGCCCTGGATATCCCTTAGAGCTCAGTCAAGGAGATTATTAAGAAGTGGAAGGCGTAAGGCACCACCAGAACTTTTCCTAGATCAGGCTGCCCCTCCAAACTGGATGACTGAGCAAAAAAAGAGACTGATCAAAGATGCTGCCAAGAAGCCAATGGCAACCCTGAAAGAACTACAGGCTTTTATGGCCAAGGCTGGTCTAACTCTAACTTATGGTCAGCAGCCATATCACCCTGCAGCTCACAACTGGCAACCCACTAAAGTTCAGCAGGTGTGAGCCTGGTCAGTACCTGGATGTGAGACCTCCTGGGAAAAACTAAGGTTGCCGCTGGAAGAGGTGTTAGTGGGGCCAGCAGGGGGTGCTCACCCTGCAGTCCATGTGGGTCCTAATGCCCCAGTATAGTGACGGGGACACTATACTGTAAAAAGTTGCCTTCCTTCGGATGAGACATAAAACCGAGGTCCTGATTCTCTGTGGTCATTAAAAATTCCAGGGCGTTTCTCGAAAAGAGTAGGGGTGTAACCCAATCATTCTGACCAAATTTCTCTTAATAATCCACATCTATGAATTGGCTTCATTACTCTGTTCTCTTCCCCACTAATAGCTGATGTGTGGTAAGCGCACTATGGCTACCGTCACATCATTCAGGTGGGGCTGCACATTGGTGGTGGTGTGTTAGTTAGTCTCCATTACCTGTGAAGCACTTTGAGTGGAGTGTCCAGAAAAGCACTATATAAGTGTAAGCTATTATTATTATAATTTACTATGCATGTAATAGCTATTCAAAGCACTTCACTTATTTTGCCCATATGACATGCCGGCAGGAAGGAAATCATTGTTGAAAAACAGCAACGAAACATTATGATACTGTGATACTGCAAGCAAGTGGCAAAAAGGTTTGTGGCCAGACAAACCCAACACAGCACGTCCCCCAGAGATCACCAATCTTACTGTGGCACATGGGGGTGGCTGCATCATGTTATGGAGATGTTTCTCATAAGAGTTAACTAATCACATTCAAAATCATGTCCAAAGGTAAGTAGCATACACCTGCCATCAATGAAAGTGATTCTGATTAACCCCAAGTAAAAATCAGCTGTAGGATTGCCTTGAAACTTTCGTGGTTGCATCCTACTGGGATAGCCATGGTCAGCAAGGAGCTGACATAACATCTACGGGATCTAATTGTTGAAAGGTACCGATCAGGAGAGGGTTATAAAAGAATATCAAAGGCATTGGATGTACCACGGAGGACTGTGAAGACTATCATCAATAACTGGAAAAAATATGGCACCAGAGGGACATTGACAAAATAAGGATGACCCTCCAAAGTTGATAACAGGACAAGGAGCAACAGCAACACGAAAGGAACTGCAGGAATTTCTGGCAGGTACTGGTCACTCCTTGCATGTGACAACAATCTTCCGTATTCTGAACATGTCTGGGCTTTGGGGTAGGGTGGCAAGATGGAAGCCATTTCTCACAAAAAAGAACATACAAGCCTGTCTAAATTTTGCATAACAATACATTCAATTACCCTAAAATATGTGGGAAAATGTGTTATGGTCTGGTAAGACAAAGGTTGAACTTTTTGACCTTAACTCTGAAAGATATGTTTGGCTCAAAGACAACACAGCTCATCATCCAAAGGACACCAAACCTACTGTGATTTGGGGCTGCTTCTCTTCAGCTGGGACAGGGGCTCTAGTCAAGATAAATGGGATAATGACTAGCTCCAGATATCAAGATATTTTGGCACAAAACCTGCTGGCCTCTGTCAGAAAGCTGAAGATGAAGAGGAATTTCACCTTACAACATGATAGCGACCCAAAGCACAAATCCAAGTCAACCAAGGAATAGCTTCAGAAAAGGAAGATCAAAGTCTTGGAATGGCCCAGTCAGAGCCCAGACCTCAGTCCCACAGAAAACATGTGGAATTACCTAAATAGGGCTGAGCACAAGAGATCCCCTGGCAATGAACTTTTTTGCAAGGAAGAGTGGGATAAAATTGCAAAGTTGTGGTGTCCAAAGTTGATAGGGACTTATTCACAAAGATTTATTGTTGTAATAAATGTAAAAGGTTTGTTTACACAAAGTATTAGTTGGGGGGTTAATTTCAATTATTTTTCCTAATAATTATCTATTTGATTTTCTCTTGAATTGTGTTGGTTGCAAGGTCACATTAAAGATGGTAATATGTCTGACATGATTTAACTTGATTTCTGGCTTTACATCATGAAAACCTGCAATTTCAATAAGGGTGTGTAGACCTTTTATATCCACTGTATCTATTTTTCTGCTTTAATTTTTTTTCCACTTGTATTCAGATCAAAAAAGAGGTATAAACAAAATCATTCGTATTTTGTGTTCGTGACACCTGGGCTGGAAACTTTTCAGTTATGGACTCCGTTATCCTTTGCTGACAAGAAAATATTTTGTGGTTTCCCTTGCTTTGAAATGCAAGCTACAGTACTTGCTCTCTAATACGACCAAAGCAGTTTCCAAAGTTCCTCAGCATAGCAGAGCCTCACCTGTAGGTTTTGATTACTACAGTAATCGAAATCTCCAATAGCTTTCTTTCACTTTTATCTGGGGTTGGTGTGCTGCTGTTTGTTTAAATGTATTATGTTGTTCTTTTCCTTCTATTACAGCAAATAATTGATGATTGATGAATCTGTCAGTAGACATATATATCAGGTGAGTGGGATCTGAGCTTTAACCTTTTGTCTGGATTCAATTACATTTGAAATGGAAAATGAATCTAAAAGCTTAGTCCAAAACATTCCTTAAACAGAGAAGGAAAAAAAGTCAAATACAGAATGTAAAATAATAATAATGCAGTGCTATTGTACATGCTCTGTTACACAAAAATGATAAAAATGTTTAGTTCCATGGCTTTAGATAAAACTGTTTATTCTTTATTTTCATGTATTTTTAATGTATTTTATTCACAAAAGGAGATCAAATGAGCAACTGGGATGCCTGTAAGAGATACTGGAAATGTGAATTATTTTACTCAGGTCTCTTGATGGGTGGATGTTGTTTATAGGGGTTTGATGAGTTTGGATTCTCATTTTATATAATGTGTATAAATGTATATCAAAAACCTCTGAACCGTACAGAAGGAAAACAATTGAACTCAAGATTTGTCCCAAAAACTGACCTACCAAATCACAAGCTTAATTCACAGCTCAGGAAGATAAGCACGTAATGATCAGAGACCTCTGTTATTAAACATTAACGGCACATATCATTCTTACTGTAAGTGCAGTCTCTCACTCAAGACGACGAAGCACATGTGGTAACCGTGGGTTTCACAATGTCTTTTTTTTTCTAGATAAAATGCAAATACACTTGCTTCTGACAGCTGCATAGAACACCAGACACCAATCTTGGCACGTGGTGAGTCGGAGATCTAAAATGTGACTTTTTCTTATTTTAACTTATTTTAACAGTTTGGCTTTTAAGTTTTTTCAACACTATGTTTAAATTGATCTATACAGATGTATTTCATGCAATTGTATCTGTTAATATTACTATTAATATAGTAATTAACATAGTAATACTGCATATTACTAAACAAGGACAAGGATAAATTGTATTTACCTTTTCAGTAAGTGAACAGAGTAGACACATCTAAACATTACTTTGGTATCTTAAGTATAAAATGACAAACCAAAATCCAGAATGATAACTAGATGTTTTTATGGTTTTGGCTCATTTGTACCTGGTTTATATGTAATACATTGCTTATAAGTCTTCTGTTTTTGGTAAGATCACTTTATATCTATAGTGAACATACTTATGAAATATTGTATGATGAACAGATATTTTATTGGATATATTTCTCTGAGTAATGTGTTTAAAGAAACTATGGTGCTTGGAACACTTTGCATATTATGACAATTCCAGCTGAGATCAAGGAGCCAGAGAGTCCTTCAGTGTTTCGGTTTTCATACTAATGTGTTTTAAAACTAAAACTTAATTTGTGATTTGCGGTTATAAGGAAGACTGGAAGTGGATTGACTCCTACATACAGTATATCATTATCATGATAACGGGTGCCAACGCAATTGCTGAACTTTTGATTCTCGAGGCCTACTTAAAGTAACGAATACAAAAACATGTATAACAAAAACTGACCAAGGGCATTCCTGAAAAAAGTCTGTCTACTTAAAATATGTAAAATTATACAATTTACAAAATGAATTATTGTTTTATTTTTAAAAATAGTTCATACAAATTGAGAACAGTATTACTTTTGCAACAACGGAAAGGAAAACCACATGCATACAAGTTTTTGTTCTGTTGTACATGTGTTGCTAAATTAAGGGACATGTTTTAGGGAGTGTGAAAATGATTCAGTTTTTCTCTGAATCTAAAGTCATAACCAATGCTTGAAAATACAATAGTGTCTGTACTTTCCCCGTGTCGTAGCTTGAAGAAAAATATATACATACTGTATCTGTTTCACTTCTTTTTCTCTTAAGACACAAGTAACGTTTACCAATTAATGCCATATTATTACTTAACTGCCTTTAGTTACCTAAAACATTTCCAAGTACCTTACATTAGGCAAACCACAGGTCTTGGCCTATTCAATATAAAATTACATTTTAATTATAAAACACTATTGACGTTGCGTTTACATTCAAATCATTTTTTGAGGAACATTTGACAGGAAAACAAGTTTTACTTTAGCTGATTTTGATGTAACGATTGAAAGACATTGCACTTTGTTCACTGCAGTTTGTTTGTAACTTTGAGAGGAGAATCTGAGTCACAATCCCGCAGATGGTAAGACTGCAAGACTGGTTTCTCAGCCAAGCATGTACAACAAAAGTCTGAACTTGCAGTTCCTCTCATACTGAGCAGAAATGCTACTGTCATCGTAGGGTAAAACTAGCCTGTCTTACCACAGTCTGAGCCCTTAAAAGTAAATTATTTTTAATGATGCATTGTTGCATTATTGCATTGTTGGAAAGTTTTGAGAAAATGTTGAAGTTTTATTTAATAAAAGAAAACTTCCCCTTTAAAAATTTGGGAATTTTAGAAGGAAGAGACACTCAGATGAAATTTACCACAGTGAGGTTAATAGCAGTACAACTCTACACAGTGGTTTTGTGTTCCGCAGATTTTGCCACCACAGCGAAGAACTTTCAGGTTCACTTATATTCTTCTCTATTAAGAACAAAAGAGTGCGATCTAGTGTTCTGCATTCAGTTTTACAGTCTTTTGTAGAAATATTTGTATATTTTTGTAGCCTTTTACATGAACATTTTTTAATTTATTGTTAATAAGAGGGTGAAAAATACTTTCGAATCCCTGCATAAAGTATGTGAATTAACAGTCGGCCATCTTTCCCTTTAAAAATGTTGGATTAAGATCAACTAATTTAATTATTTTGTTGGAAATGTGTAGTGCTAGTTACCTAGAAACATGCAATTCTCTATTCTAGAATGCCTTTGGATGGTGCCAGACAAACAAAAATGATCAAATCATTTTTGTGCTTCACAAGCACGTTACACTTGTGCTACTCAGGTGTTCCATAAGGAGCAATCTTGTCAGGCTTGAATGTTGTGGGTTCAATTCCATTATTCCTGGACTTTATTCTGACTCCCAGCACTGTGACATGCACTCTTTTTAGGATTTAATTTTCTATTTCATAGAATGTAATTTTCTATTTCACATATTTTTTAAGATTTTGGCTATTTCTGTTGGTTTTTTTTCCGTGGTGCCTGGTTTTATTTCATTCATTGATTCAGCCGCTGTGCTTGGAGTTTTCAGCCTGGATCTTCTGAGATTTCCAGTCACTGTGGCCAACATGCCAGCACATGTTCTGCCAGCCGAGCAGGCAGTGCAATGGTGTTGTCGATGGCTTTTCATGCTGTTGACAAACTTGAATGAAGATCAAAGGCAAAAAAAGCACATCAGGTTTGGTCCACATAACATTTTCCATGTACTATGGGGGGGGGGACACATTTTAATAGACAAGATCAGTCAATGTCATATTGTGGACACAATATGGTCTTGCTGTGAACAACATTTGTGTCAGTGGTGGCCTTCATTGCATGAAACGGCAGGGATTGTGGTCGAACATTTCAAACCCACAGCTTTTCTGGTGGGTAATTCACCTGGCTGAATACAATGACAATCAGTCCAGAGCTGAGCCAAGTAGCTGGTACAAGGGTAGGAGGGAAGGATGTGAAAAAAAAACATGTAACACAAGGAGAAGTGGCTGAGATTAGGGTTTGACCTCCCTTTTTGTTTCAAACTTCATTTTCATTATGTTCTAAACGTATTTGTGCTGCATGATGCAGTTTTCACATACATTAGTTTTAATATTCACTAACTAAAATCATAAGCACTAATGTAGATAGTGTGCTGCGTGTAGCACACAGTGAGAAGATTTTGTAATTTTTTAAATGGCAACATCCAAGAAATGAGAAAGCATTTAAACTCCAGCTCCTGGCTAAATCTATAGATGCAAAATGGAGGTTAAAAGTAAAAGGAATAAAAAAGGCTACAAAGCCAAAACATTGTTTTATCTCAGCTTTCAGCACAGAATTAACCTTGCTGCTTTGAAGTCTGTATGCTGAATTAGTTCTTCAACAAGCTATAATCTTTAGATGTTGAGAAAGCAATTGAATTGGACAGTGATACATCAGTCCCAATTTCACACCTTCCCATCCTAAATGCAATGTGTAAAAAAAAGTTTTGATTTTAAAAGGAAAGTGAAAAATCAAAAATGCATTGGGTTGCTTCTGTTAGAAAGAAAAGATGTGTGTACAGTATAAAAAATAAAAGGAGTGTACATGATATGATATGATATGGGTGTCGTAGGAGTGGTGATCATTCTGGATTCATAATCTGAAAATTGTGTGGTCAGCCCTGGGTTGAACCAGTGCTGTTATACCCCTTAACAAGCTATTTTCAGCAGAGTGCACCACTAAAAAATCCATCTGTATAAATGAGCACTGATGCTCTTTTTAAATAATGAAAATCATAAAGATACTTACAAAATGAATGTATTTTTCTTTTAATACACTTGAAAATACTGTTACAGATTTGGTGACTATGGATGTGTCTCAAAGAATCTAGAAACGATGGGTAATGCCTAGTTGACATATCCAGCTTCAAAGCTGAGATGTAGGGGGTCCAGATTCAGTCATCTAGGCAATCATACAGTTTACTTTGGTTTACCTTAGTTAATTAAGTGCTGGGTAAATGATACAGTATCAATCAACAGTCTGGAAAGACACCATATCAGATCAGATCAAGACACATAAAGCATGTGCCATGCGAGAGGTCCATGTCTTGATCATCCATAAAGACCAGGTCTGAGAAAAGTATCTGAACCTTGCTAAGAGAGCTTGCTATTCTGTGTTTGTTAGGGAACTGATTTCCTGAGTGAAGAATCCCTCTGTTAAAAACAGCCTCTCCTGGTTTGTGGGTGCATTTTAAAACAGGTAGATAGATTCCCGTTTATTCTAATGCATCCTGG